AGGCACTGGCATTATTTTGTCCATCTGTTTCATTATTAGGTAGCACTTCTGGAGTTTTTGTTAAGGATAGATTTTTAGTGCCTTCAAATTCTTCAGATTTTCTTGCTTTAGATTTAGGTAATGCTCTAATTTCCTCACTTATTTTATCTAACCTCGGTTTAAGAAGGGAATTATTTCTTCAATTACTTGTTTTGCCACATAGAGCTGAGTGTACCAGTTACAAAAAGCGATACGGAGCCATGCTGATGAGTGGTAATATCTGTTTCCAGTTTTGTCATAATGTAACACTGCTACATAATGAAAACATTCACATCTTGAGTACTGAGTTTCGTGCACACCTACTTTTCCTGCTTTGTCAGTGCCATCTGCACCAAGGCGTTTCCAGCAGATGGGGTATTGGTGTTACTGAGCTTTTCCAACACACCTTGCCTGCTTGTGGTTCCAGGACTTGAAGGAGCATCACTTATTCCACCGTCCTCCGTGTCAAGGCAGCTCTAGATAGCACAGCGGATAGAGTATTGGACTTGGAGTCAAGAAGACCTGAGTTCACATCCTGCCTCAGATATTCCTTAGTTGTGTGACTCTGGGCAAGTTATTTAACCTCTCTCAGCCTCAGTTTCCTCATCTGTAAAGTGAGTATAAAAGTAACACCATACCTCTCATGGTTATGAGGATGAAATGAGATTCTATTTGCAAAGCATTTTGCAAACCTTAAAGTATTATATAAATTCTACTATAATAATAACAATAATGGTTATTATTATTATTATTGTAATTAATTAAACTGATCGTCACAATGATTCCAAGGAGGGCCAGCTTGCACCCCTCTAGCTCCCCTTCTATTTCTTAGATTCATACAAATAATCACATTGCACTGAGCAGACTGCTAACCCGATCAGTGGTATCACCAAAGCCTAAATGGCTGATGTTTCACAATTCCTTCTAGGCTTTCATAGTTACTGTAGATGTCTCAAAGCACAGTCAGTCCCTGCTATATATCATATACCTTTACTTTGATGTTGCGTGGATGACGGGTTGGGCTTTGAAGGAGCTATTACTATCATCATCACCATCATTATAGTTATTATTACTAGTAGTGGTAGATGGCACAGTGGATGGCATGTTGGACATAGAGTCAGAATGACCTGAGTGCAAATCCTGCCTCAGTCACTGACTAGCTATGTGAACTATGTCAAGTTACTTCTCTCAGCCTCAGTTTCCTCATCTGTAAAATGGGGATGATAATAGCACCTATTTCCTTGTGATGAACAAGTGGGATAACCTATATAAAGCACTTTGCAAACCTTAAAGTGCTAGGTCAATGTTGACTATTATTGTTGTTTTTACTACTACTACTACTACCACTAATACTATCCACCTGCTATGTGTAAGGCACTATGCTAGGCACCGGCATCCAAAGACAAAACAAAAACAATCTTCGCCCTAATAGAACTTAAAGGATTGTCAAATGCATCCTATAAGTCTCTTCCAGAATATGTAATCACAAGGGAAGTGACTGGCATCTAGATGAGGAGAAGGGTAGCAGAATGAGGCTTTTTTTCCATTATGGTTGGAGTGAAATCCTTCAAGGAATTTGTCCAAGGGCATCCAGTGAGTGGAACAGTCAGGATTTGAAACCAGGCATTGCAACTTTCGATACAAGATGATTTCCACTCTTGTTTATGTTAATTATAAGTTATTAGCAGATCTGCAATGTTAAGAAACACAGGAGTGTACTGGAGCGAGCCTGAAGTGGCTTTTGAGAGCTGATGGTTAAATTTTCAGTGTGAGCATTTACACCTTGAAAATCAACTAATGCTACAAATTAGGGCCTGTTTTATTGGTTGTCTGGACTTAAGAAAGTAATGAAGAAAATGTTAATCCTTCAGATTACACTGAAAAGTGTGCCCTGTGAATATTTTATTTCCAGAGATATGGTTATTAAACATTTACCAGCACACCCCTGATATTGCCTCACATTTCTCCCACTCTTGCTGCCTCCTGCAATTCTACCCTTATCTATATCCAAGTTGCAAGTCTTATTTGTTTATTTGAGTAAAAAGAGGATGACAGCAGGGATACTTAAAAACAAACTCCCCCTCTGCAAGCTCTCGGATGAATCTTGGCCCTCGAATATTTATTCCTCTATCACGAGACCAGAGAAGTGTCCTTCTTTCTGAGAGAGTGTTCAAGAGCTGGCAGAATGGCAAGTGAGATGTGAAATCAAGCCGGGCGAGAGCAGCTGGGATTGTCGAGGTCGCCCTGGTTCCGTGCCAGAGAATCAGGAAGCTCCCATCGATAAGATAAGAAGAGCATAAACCTCATTCTGTTCCCAGCCACTTGCTTCAAGCTCTCGGGAAGGTCTCCAGAGTTTGACAGCTCTTATCCATGACGGAGGGTCTACTCCTGTGCCTAACGGGTGATGAACAAGCATTACTGGTTGGAGGCATCAAAGGCTTTGCCTGACAGCTCGTGTTCTGGTCGTAAATTGTCAGGCATTTGGGTGAGAGCACATCACAAGCTGTTCGTGAGCAAGAGCAGAAACTAATGACAGCCTATTCTGCAATGCAGCCTGGTTCTTTCACCTTTGGATGGCAAATAAACCAAGGTCATGTTTGCAAGGTAGCCAAAGCAGCTGCTTTCAGTGGCAGGTGACATGATGGATGGGGACAATGTGGTTTTAAATGATGCCAGTTTGAGATTAAAAATAGCACGTGGCAGGGAAGAAACCAAAAGCCGTCCCCAGCATGGCCCTGAAGGACAATATGACAGATCTTCTCTCCATGTCCCTGAACTTTTGGATCCCAAACTTGTGGGTCTTCAAATGCTGCCACCTTAAACCTCTCTCAGATCTGCAAGAGTGGCACACCTCCCTTGCCTCCTGGACAAGGTCTTGGACTACTCCATCTCTAGCTTTATTTTTCTAAACAGAGAACTGTTTGGGTTTTTGTATTGTTGTGGCTTTTTTTTTAAACTTTAGAAGAGAACCTGCTGCAGCTGATAAATCAGCTAAAACCATAGTAGTGTGGATGCTCAGCCCAGGACTCAAAATGCATAGACACCAGTTTGTAAGAAAACACAAAGGCATTTTGGCCGAGCAAGGCATCAGGCAACCTCAGTTATCCATGCTAGCTAGGGTGGCTTCTTTCCAGAAAGTAAGACCCGTCTCTTCTCAGCAGCCAACAGCCGTCCTTGCTGTCAGACTTTGCTCAGCTTCTGGTGAGCTATTTCCAAACTTATCCAGGAGGACTGTGGAGATGATGAAGGAGAAACGTTTGGCCCCAGAAGTAAAAGAGACAGTGATGGTCTAAAGATCCTCCATTATCATCTCCATTTTAGAAATATAGAAACTCACTTCGATACAACTATAATGTTTCTCGTTGTCTCCATCATCTTTTTTCCAGCTTGTTGATCTACACTCCATTTTGAGGGTTCATCTCAAACAGTGACTTTGAACAAAGCTGTACTCATTGTATTTCTCTAACAATAATAGCTCACATTTATGTAAGCATTTTTCAAAACATTCCTACGCATAACTCTCTTGTATCCTTTTGACACAATGGGTCCAGGTGTACCTTGAGAGATTTCTCATTTTTCTGCCTTCTTGTCCCCACCAAGATGATCTTGATATCTCTTAGCATTTCCTCCCAAGGAGATTCACTGGCTCCCTTTACAAGCACATAGGATCAAAGGATCAAAAGATAAAGAATTTGATTGAGAAGGTAACAGATTTGGAAATAGAGAAGACATTTTTGAGCCCGTGGAAAGCAATAAGCAACCGTTCCCTCACAGACCTGTACCATATCTGTGACTTACAGTACTACCCTGTCTAGGGCTCTAGCAAGGAAGTGGCCAGGGCATTTTTATCTTCCACATAATTGCTCCCCTCTGTCTCTGCTTGCTTCTGATTGATCACTTCCTTCCACTGATCACTATTCCCCGTGGCACTATTCCCTCTGCAGTTCTACTATAGCTCTCCTTAAGCAAGACAATCTTCTGTGGTTCCTGTTTCCTGATACTCTCAGCAGCTCCTCTGAGGATGGGCATTCTTATGTCAGCTTTTTTCACTGTCCTCCACAGTTAGTTTTGCTATTCTCCTCTAGCTCCAAGAGGTGGCATTCATAATCGTTCTCCAGGGACCAACTCTCTAACAACTAGTGTTTATGGGAAGAACCTACAGTTATGCCTACAATTCAGAAAAATACATTATTTTTAAACCTCGTACAAAACCTGAATCAGAAAACACAACTCTTGACAACACAGCTTGGGGTCAGGAGGCCCTTCTCTGATGTCAGAGTCCTTGAAACACACCAACACCATATTGTAGAGAAAGTGCTAGATTTGGAATTAGAGAATCTGTAGGTTTGAATCTACCTACTTCCTGTTTGACATTAGGCAGATTTATTCTCTTTGGGCCTCAGTTTTCTCATGTGTAAAATGATAGAGTTGTACTAGATCTAAGGATCCTATGAAGCCAGATCATACCAATGATAAATAGTAGCACTGCAAATCTCCCCAACAGGCAAGAACTCTCAGATGTCTGATGTGCACCCTAAAGTCTTCTCTTCTCCAAGCTCAACAGCCTCAGTTCCTTAGCACAGTACCTAGCAAGACTATACTTAATAAATGCTTTTCCTCCTCTCTCCTCTTTTCTTCCCTTCCTTTCTCCTTTCTTTCTTTCCCTCTATCCCTCCCTTCCTTCTTTCCTTCTCTTTTCCCTTCCTTTCCCCCTTCCCCCTTTCCTTCTCCCTCTTTTCCCCTCCCCTCCCCTCCCCTTTCCTCTCCTCCCTTCCTCTCCTCTCCCTTCCCCTTTCCCTTCCTTTCCCTTCCCTTCCCTTCCCCATACTACCTAGTATACTCCTGGACCCACAGTAAATACTTAATAAATGCCTGTTAAATATAAACAAATTGAAGTTGAAGTATCCCACACATGGCTAGTGGCAAGTGCCTAGGAGCCATTTGTCAATTGGGAAAAACACTGAACCAGATCTTTTCAACAGCATATCTGTGCCTGAACAAACCAAGAAAATGGTGCTTCTGGATCTAGTGGACCATTGCTTTGATAATGATGCTGAAGCACCAAACAACCAGTTCAATTTCACTAATCTATCTGGAGTAGGAAGCAATGGAAAGTTTTTTCAGGATTCAGACGGCTCTGGGAAAATTTTGGTAAGCCAATGATCTCTGTTATTAAAGGAGAATCTTGGGAATGTTGCTATAGATTGTAGGGTATGTTGGCTACCCCCAGGAAAGACATGTACCAGCTAACTGCTGCAGCAAGAGAATGTGGCTGATATAGCTCATTTTGAAAGACTTCTGACATTTCCTCATTATTTTATCAGGCTATGGGAACAGTTTGTTGCATGTAGTAACATACAATGATGCTGAAGCTCTAAGGGCTTGTATGATATACTATTTTTAAAAATTTGTGACTCCATGGTCATTCAGTAGGTTTAAGTGTTTCTATTTTTTCAAAAACCTTGATCTGAAGCATAAAAGTACAAGGGGAGAACAGATTTAAAAGCACTAAAAGATGACCTCAGAGGTCATCGAAGGGCTTCTTAAACTTTTTCCACTCCAGACCCCTGTTTGAGTTTTGGCAGCTTTGGTTGGCAGTTGCATGGTGTGATGGCGTGTGCAGTGCAAAGTGCACATGCTTTGTGTTCAGAACCAAGCCTGCAGTGAAGTTGCAACCAGATTCATTATGCTTTTAATTTTTCATTAATTTTTGGTCATTGCTCATTCAGAAACCTTTTACTGTTGCCAGATTTTTCAAGACCCCATTTAGGGTCACAACACATAGTTAAAGAAGCATTGATCTAGGCCCAGTTCCTCATTTTTCAAGTGAGGAAACTGAGGCTTAGAGAGTTTGTCCAAGGTCATGTAGATAGTAAGCAGAAGAGTCAGAACTTGAACTCTGGTCCTCTGACTCCAAATCCAGTGTTCCTTTCTTTGTTCCATGCTGTTTCCTAATGGTACAGGATGCTAGTGCATTTTTAATATAAGCAGTAGAAACTCTATTGAAAACAATGGAAAGATGGAGTATGGGCATTCCCACTCCTCACCTAATGAGCAGGCAAAGTCAAAGGGAATAAGCAGAACAAGGAACAGTATATGCAATGAATGTAAAAAAAATTAGTGGAAACACATAAACAGAAATGAAACTGAATGATGTTTTATTGTAAGGATCAAGTTTGGCCAAGAAGAGATGAGAAGGTGTATGAACTCTGCTCATTGGAATGGTAGAGTCTGTGGGTCTGGCACATTGAAAATATTATCTGACTCGGTTAATTTGTTAATTCGTTTTGCAGAACTGCTCCCCCCCACCCCCCTCAACCTTTTTTTTATGCTTTGTTAAAAAGGATGACTCTTTGGGAAGGAAATGAAGATGAAACAAAATATATGTATACAAAAATTTATTTGAGGAAAACTGGAGGGAGCGGTGGAGTGTTGTCATCCCATTTTGAACTATTAATCTATAGTTTGGGATGGGGAAAAAGAATTGAATCAATTTTTTTTTTAGCCTTGAGCCATTCATAACTATTCAGCACTTAAATTGAATCAGAATCTGGAAAGGAACTAGGAAGGGGGGGGTGGAGAGATAAAGAAAAAGGAAGGGGGATAAAAAGAAAAGAAGGTGAGAGGGAATTTTATATTCGAAGACCAAGTTAAGTCTCTAATGGAAAAGAATGGCATAGGCCAAAGAAGGAAATATTAGACTCAGAGGCAGGAAATCCTGGGTTCAAAATCTACTTTTTACAGAGTACCATGGCCAAGTCATCTAAATTCTCTCAGTTTCCTTATCTGCAAAATAGGCGTAATAATATCCATAGTAGCTAGCTCACAGTTTTGCTGTGAGATTCATATGAGACAATGTATGTAGGGGGTCCCAAAATAGTGCTAAAAGTTTGGGGGTATCCTACACATAAGATATTTTGTATACTTGAAAGTGTATAAATAATTTGGAAGATGTCTCTTTGTCTTCTTCCCCATTCACCATCACCCCACCCTTAGCACTTCAATTTTTTGAAAGGAAGGATAATGTTGCTAATGTTATTTACAGTGTGTGAATTTTTCCCAGTATGACCTAAGATCCATTGATTTTTCATCTAGCTGATGGGTGATCTGGATTATGAAGATTCAAGTAATCTAGCAGTTGGGAATGAATATGCTTTAATAATCCAGGTGCAGGACATTGCATCTCCTTACTATAAAAGTAAGTGTACCCTTGACTTCTTACCTGACAGTTGTTCTGCCATGACAGCAGAAATAAATAGGTTAGTTGACACACATGTATTCAAAAGAAGATGCCAGAAGAGAACTTTAAAATTTCAGAATATTCTCTCTGTTCCTTTTTCAGATACCATCTACATTTATATCCATACAATTCCAGAAAATGAACATCTTCTACAGTTTGATAGTGCTTCCTATGTATTTGAAGTTTTAGAATTGAAGTCAGGTGAGTAAAGCAGATAGGGAATAAAATGATGGCAGTCAGTGGATAGAGCACTGGGATGGGAATCAGGAAGACTCATCTTCCTGAGTTCAAATCTGGCCCCTGACATTTATTAGCTGTGTGACCTTGGGCAAGTCATTCAATCCTATTGGCCTCCGTTTCCTCGTCTGTAAAATGAGCTGATGGCAAACCACTCCAAGATCTTTGCCAAGAAAACCCCAAATGGGGCCACAAAGAGTTGGACATGACCAAACAACAAAAATAAAATAAAATGATAGTGCTATTGATAGAAATCTAGAGCCAAAGGATGTATTCTTTTGGGGGTGGGGGAAAGGGAACAAGCACCTACTATGTACCAGGCACTGTGCTATTATCTCATCAGGATTACTAGATCTAGTGGTGGGGGTAACCTCAGAAGCCATGGAGTGAATTTTACAGAGGAGTAAAGTGAGGCCCTTAGAGGCTAAGTGACTTGCTCAAAGTCACACAGCTAATCAGCATCAGAGATGGGATTATCACCAAGATCTCCTCAGGCCAAAGTTAAGGCTTTTTTCCACTGTCTCTTCAGAGAGGGCATGCACTGGTAAGCACATAAGTCTCATTTTACATAGTTACTCACAGTTGGGAAATGCCTGTTGTACCGCTTAATTTCCAAAATTGACACGGCCGCCCAAGTGTCATTTACTGGAAAATTTAGTTTCTCTCACCTGTTTACTGAAAAAACATGAGATTCCCTTTGATGCCTATTTGCTATTTATGCATCCCAAGCTCTCCTGTCATCTCTGCTATCTACCTCTCAGATTTTTACTTGGCTCTTCTTTTTAAAAAGAAAAAAAAAAGGTCTCCTTTCATAACATTCCTCTGATATAGATTAAAAGTAGAATATAATGGGGCAGCTAGGTGGCACAGTGGATAGAGCACCGGTCCTGGAGTCAGGAGGACCTGAGTTCAAATCTGACCTCAGACACATGATACTCACTAGCTGTGTGACCCTGGGCAAGTCACTTAACCCCGACTGCCTTGCCAAAAAAAAAGGAATATAACCTCCTTGAAGGCAAGGCTTTTGCAGTTGTATTCCTAGCATTTGGCACTTAATAAATGCATTTTCATTCTTTCCTTCATTCATAAGGAAACTTCCTTCATGTTCATCTTTCTTGAAGTTTCTTAAATTCTCTGCTTAGCAACAATCTTAGCAACAAACAAGCAAACGCTATCTCCCATTTTAAGAATGAACTCTCAAGTTAGTATTCTGATTGATTTCTTCCCATCTCTCCCAGTTTAAAATTTAATGTACAAAAATAACCCTAGAGTGACAGCTTCAATCTTAGTTACAAGAGCAGTTCTTTGCTTAGGTTTCTGCCATCTCTCTCTACCTTGGACCTCCAACAACACAGTTCTTACAAACACAAACTACTTATGGCATAGTACCTCTTCACTTCATTTTCTCTCCCTGCTGGCTCTCTTTCTCTGATATTCAGCTTACCAAAAGAAAGGAAAACAAAATCTTTTCCAATCCCTATGCCTTAGCTTCAGGGAGTTAATAGGGCATGCGTCTAGAAGTCTTTTGGAAAAATTGTATTTTATTCAGTTTAGAGATGGAAGGAGGAAGCTGCCATATCCTGCTTTCTGGCCAGCCCCTCTCACCTCCTCCAGCTAACTTGTCTGACTTTCCATTTGAACTGTATGTATCTTGTATGTAGATGGTTGTTTGCATGTTGTCTCCCCATTTAGACTGTAAGCTCCTTGAGGGCAGGGATGATCTGTTGTCTTTCTTTGTATCCCCAGCATTTAACATAGTGCCTGGTACCTAGTAGGCACTTAAATGTTTGTTGACTGACTCACTGACTAACTTGGGAATTGGTCTAGTATGCTTTGTGAAGGTTGTTTTTAAAAATATACTCCCAAAGATTATCATAACAAATGAATAACATAGTGAGAGAGGTTTTTAAAAAGAGTATAAGGGCAGCTAAGTGGCATAGTGGATAGAGCACAGGTCCTGGAGTCAGGAGGATCTGAGTTCAAATTCAGCCTCAGACACTTATTAGCTATGTGACCCTGGGCAAGTCACTTAACCCTGATTGTCCCCCCCCCCATAAAAAAAGAGTACAGACAGCAGAGTATAGCGGATAGAATATTAGACAGAGTCAGAAGGCCTGAGTTCAAGTCCCAGATCTGCCATTTACTAGCCAGGTAACTCTGGGCAGGGACAGCTAGGTGATGCAGTGGATAGAGCTCTGGTCCTGAAGGCAGGAAGCCTCATCTTCCTGAGTTCACACCGGCCTCAGACACTTACTAGCTGTGTGACCTTGGACAAGTCACTTCAGTTTCCTTATCTGCAAAACAAGCTACAGAAGGAAATAACCAACCACTCCAGTATCTTCGCCAAGAAAACTCCAAATGCGGTTATGAAGAGTTGGACATCACTGAAATGACTTAACAACAACAAAAACTCCAGGCAAATGATTTTTACCTCAGTGAGATTCAATTTTCTCATCTGTGTAATGTAGCTGTGGATACTTCCATATGATATAAAATGGCTGGCCTATGTGTGGCATGGATATGTAGCTATCTGATCTGAGATCTGGCCTGCCTCATTTTTTAAGGAAGACTAGGGTTTCTGCCTTTGTGGGGAGCAAAAGGAAGAACGTGGCCAAATGATCAGTTCTCCACTCCTCTCTCTCCAGGAGGGAATTAGGCTCAAATCGTGTCTGTCGACCACACATCAAATATTTGTAGTCTAGGAGTCTGATTCTTTTGAAGTTCATGATAAACATCACTCTCCGTGATCACTCTAAACGGGAAGGTGACACTTAGCTTACTCTTGGCCACCTAGGGAGTTAACTTTGTCTTCATGCTGGTTCCACACAAAACAGTCTCAGATATCAAGCAAACACATTTATCTAAGCAAGCGGTAAGCAGAAATTGGGGGAAGTAATACACATTAGTGCAGAGGAAAAAAGACAAATGAGTAGGTGAGTAAAATAAAATCTCACCTCAACCAAGGGGAGAATGGTCTCATCAGGAAAGTCCATTCATAATTTCTCTCATATTTTAACTTACATCAGCCTCTCGGATTGCATGTGCAGGGGAATCAAGGGACATGTCAAGGGCTACCTTCCCACATCTCTGTGGCTGCAGAGAGATCTCCCATCTGACATTCAAAAGTTTGCTCTCTGCCTGTTCCTTTCCTAAGTCTTTCTGTCTTAAGAAGCATCTCAGCTTAGAGTTCTCTCAGCCAATCAGGAGCCAAATCCTTCCTTCTGTGATACAATGTCACAAGTTTGTTCTTAAGGGAATTGCCCCAAGTCTGGGAAGATTAAGATTACATTATGGTGTGGTGTAGGTTACATTATATAGTGTAGCGGATAGAATATTTGGCAGAGTCAGAAGACCTGAGTTCAAGTGCCAGAGGTTACATTCCTCCTCTGGGCCAAAATTTTTTGCACTCCCTTAAAAAAAAATAATTCGGGGTAAGTTTAAAACCAGTAAACTATACAGCATAAACACAAAGTGAGGTGAAGAGAAAAACTATAAACGAAGAGCTAAAGCCATTGCAGAAGCCGGCAGACTATCCTCTGAGGTCAATAAATGGAGGTGATAAGGATTAGGACTCTAGCACCCCATGGATCTTAAAAAGAAGTCCCTGAAATCCTTAGCCCTACAATGACAATACTAATGAACGTCTTTATGTTGCTAAGAAGTTTGCAAAGTAATTTAGATACATTATGTCTTTTGAGCCTTTTAACAACCCTATGAGGTAGTTACTACAAGGTCATAGTCAGTTCACCAATGAGAAAACTGAGGATCATAGCAGTTATATGACTGGCCCAGGGTCACACTGCTGATACATTCCAGAGCCAAGATTTAAACCCAGGTAGAACTCTGAGCCTGGAGTCAGGAAGACCTTAATCCACTGGAGAAGGAAATGGCAAATCGTTCCAGTATCTTTGACAAGAAAACCTCATGGACAGTATAATTCACAGGGTCATGAAGAGTGGGTGGTGACAACAGCTGAACAACTTCCTAATGCTAGCACTCTAGCCACGGTTACAATACTGCCTCCCTCTGGTGATTGGAGACATATCTATTCCAGCACATATTCTTTCCTTCTGCCCTCCCCTCTGCAAAAAATAAAAATAAAAATAAAAATTGTTTTAAAAAGTACTCATCTGAAATGCTTTGTTCCTTTCAGTTCAATCACGCATTGGGCAGGTTCATGCAAGGGATGAAGACTACCCACAAAGTGATATCACCTACTCCATTCTCACTGGGGGCTCCACTGTCCAATACATGGGCCTATTCTGGATTAACCCCAAAACAGGGGTGCTCCAGCTTGTGACGAAGGCCGACTTTGAATCAGTCCCGCAGCACATCCTTACAGTACAGGCTACTAACAGAGAGGAGAGCAGCACAGCCACTGTGAGTAATGAGAGCCTACCTGTCGGGTTTTCCTTAAGCTTTTCGAACATCATGGGCTGAAAAAAGTTAGGGGCAGAATCTCTGAGCTCAGCAAGAAGTCACACTAATAGCTAAACATAACCTGTAGCTCTTGGACTAGGTACAGTTTTGAGGAATCAATACATTTCCCATACCATTGCAGGGTTTCCAGGAGAGTGAAAGTAGCCAGCGGCAAGATCCCTGTCACATGGTAGAAATGGAAAAAATTAAAGTCTCTATGCCCAAGGGCACATCTTGAGTTAAGATAAGAGCTAGGATCAATGGGCAGACTGCCTAATTCCCAAGCTACTGCCTTCATCCATTAATAAATTCTAATGCACAACATACATTCCCATGCACAGTGAGCCTGATTGCATTTCCTAATTGCTGTAAGACCCAAAAAGTGACAGGTATAGTCACCTACTTGTGATGTAGTAACGACATTTTTTCACCCAGGATAAAAACAGCTGAGTGAGCAAAGTGGGAAAGTATTGTGGATATGGTTGTTGCAAGAGAGGAGGCAGTCTGGCCCTTGCCCCTTTAGGAGTTGGGTGGAAAAGTGGACCCAGAAAAGAGGCACCTCCAGGACAGGACCCAATGGAGTGGGGGTGGGGAGACATGACTGTTGATCTGCAGCTCAGGTGATAGTACTCTGGGGTGGTGGCCACATGGCAAAACAGGCCAGCAGAAAACAGGTGAAGTAGGGATTGGTGATCAACCTAGGAAAGAATGGTGTCCTTTCAGGAAGGAAGTGCATTCCCTTCTCTCCCTAACCCATGTCAATCCAATCCAATCCAATTTAGTCAACATTTATTAAATTCCTACTATGTGCCAGGCATGCAGTGCTCAGTGCTGGGGATACGATGAATAAATACAAAGACAGTCCCTGCCCTCAGGGGGATCATAATGAGGAGACAACACATAAAAGGAGGCAGGAAAGCCTCGGGGTGAGGAGGATATCAGGAGGGACCTGGTGAAGAAAGAATTGGAACCAGACAGGGTAGCAAATACAAAGTGGAGTGATTAGCTGAGAGTTCAGTTTCTGACCTTTATAAAGGAAGGCATTGGGAGGAGTTTAGTACTCAATCCTCCAATCAGAGGGAGATGAGGCTAAGGGAGTGGTGTCAATCAAGGATTAAATTAGCAGCATGGTAGAGTTTAAAAGTGATGAGCTTTTCCTGGAAGGGGCATCCTGTTCCGTGGAGTTGAAACCAGGCAAGGCAGCAGATGCAGAGTGGAGTGCGGACTCTAGGACAAGACCCTTTTTGTTCTCTGCTCTCTACAGCCGTGCCATTAGCAGTGCACAGTTTCACAACTCTCATTCTTATTGTTTATATGCTGCAGCAGGATATATCCTATCTGGAAGCATGTCTGGAAAAGGGGGCAACCACTGGATCAGTTGCACTGTCAGTAATTAAAACTAGTTGAAGATAATGGAATGACTACTTACAGGGAACCATTTCTCCCCCTATTCTATCAGCAAACTCAGAGAAGTGTGAAAGAAACATAAACTGAACTAATAGCTAGTCTGGTCAAGTGGAGAGAACATTTGGGAAGAAGTCAAGAAACTGAGTTTATTTCTCAGCTTTCTTCCTAATTTTCTATGAGATTTTGAGCAATATGGAATTCTTCATCCTAATTTCTCTACCTACTAAGCAGAAATTAAAATTTTAACTAAATGCCAACAAAGTCCAGCCCCAGGAATAACTTGTTTTGAATCAATGGGTTTTAAGGTGTTTTTATTTTTTTTTAAATGAAACCAAAGACTCAAAATTGCTGGCTTGGCCAGGGATAGATAGTATTAAATCAGAGGCTAACTGGGGATTGTGTAGAGTTTTCTAAAAAATCAATAGATGCCTGATTGGGGGACTGAGTAAGCTAAAATTTTATTTCAGTCCTAAATTTAGAAATAGTCAAAATGCCTAAATTACAAAGTTAGACTAAATTTGCCCATATTTCACAGATGGATGTAGGTAGGTACTAGTGGCTCAAGGTAGAAACTGAACTGAATGACCTGCCAGTATATACTCCAAATTACCAGCCCTAGAAGGAAACAGTGAAGGAGATCAGAGTATGGCCACTGTCTGAGCCTGCCTAGCTTAGCTGATTAGAGTCCCAAGGTAATGAAATCAAAGTCCTGGATTTGATCTCAGTGGGACCAGTTGGGTCCAGTCTGCTGTGACCACATAGACTATATTGCTAACTCAGGCTTCTCACTGGCCACACACAACAGGAGGGAAGAATGTAGTATGGGCAATCTACAGCCATTCCAGGGGAAACAATCTGGCATCATTTTTGTATATCTAGAATTTAAACAGCACTTTGAGGTTTGCAAATTGTTTTTTTTTTTACCAGTATCATCATATTTTATTTTCACAACAAACCTGGAAGGTATATGCTATTATCATACCCATTTTATAGATGAAGAGACTGGGGCTGACAGATGTGAAATGGCTTGCCCACGATCAGACAGCTAGAAAGTGTCTGAGACGGGATTTGAGTTCAGTGTATCACCTTGCTGTGTCATATAGATGTATATTTTAAAATGTCTAATTGTTATGGCAGAGGAAGATGGTTCTGTGGAGGTGATTGGGAGTCCCTCATCTAACTGGTGATCTTCTTTCTCTAGGTGACTGTGAACATTCTTGATGAAAACGATGAGAAACCAATATGTGAACCAAATTTCTATTTCCTGACAATCCCGGTGGACCTCAGAGTTGGCACAAACATTCAGAATTTCAAACTAACGTGCATTGACAAAGATTCCCTCCCCACATCTTTCCGCTACTTCATTGGTCAAGGTATAGAGTTTGTCTCAGAATCACAGAATCTCGGCCAGGACCTCATCCACCATCTAGTCCCACTCAAATAAGTATTGACTCCATAATGTACCCAACGAGTAGTCCTTGTCTGCTTGAAACCCTCTAGTTAGGAGGAATACGTGCTCTTCTCAGGCATTGGGGTTGGTCTAATGGATAGGAAGTATTTCCCTGCTTAAGACTAAGTCTGTATCTCTGCAACTTGCACTTTTTAAATTCTGTCCTCTGGGGTTGAGGAGAGCAAATTGACAACCCTTCAAATATTAAAAGACAGCTATCATGCCCTCCTTAAGTTTTTTTTTTTTCTCCTGGCTAGACTTATGCATTTCCATATATAGGCTTTAAATGGCAAAACTCAAAGCCCTTTTCCATTCCACTGGCCTGTCGAGATACCCTCTGGCTAATCCACATCCTACCTACAATCAAACAGAATAGTCTGATAAGGGTAGCATAAAGTAGTAGCATCACCTTCCTGCTCCTGGATACCATGCCTCTCTTAATGTAGACAAGTATCACATTAACTTAGCTGCCATATTGATTAATCACGTATTCCACTAAAATCCCCAGATCTTTTTCAGATGAATTGCTATCTTGCCATGATTCTCTGATTTTGTACTTGCGTCATTGGTTTTTTTGAACCAAAATATAATGTTTTACATATATCCCTATTAAATTTCATATTATTCTATCCAGCCTGATATTCTAGCCTATCCAGATGTTTTTGAATTTTGATGTTGTTACCTAGTGTGTTAGCTGTCCTTTCTACTTTTGTGTCATCCACAAATCTGATCTAAATTAGTATGCAACCAATGCATGGTTTTATACAAATTAGCATATACCCTGTTGGCCTCAGCTTCCTCATCTGTAAAATGAGCTGGAGAAGGAAATGGCAAACCATTCCAGCATCTTTGCCAAAAAAAAACAAAAAAAAAAAACTCAAATGGCGTCACAAAGAGGATGTGATTGAAAATGATTGAACAAGAAATATGTATGAGAGACAGAGAGAGAGAGAGAAAGAAGGAGAGAGAGACAGAAGGAGGAGGAGAAGAAGAAGGAGAAGGAGGAGGAGAAAGAGGAGGAGGAGGAGGAGGAGGAGGAGGAGGAGGAGGAGGAGGAGG